TATTCAGCTATAGCTATTCGATATGATCCTAGATCGCGTGAATGATACAACGAAAACTTACTGTTGTTCGTCTATGTCCTCGACTATGGTATCCACGCAATCCAGTTTCCCGATGCACGATCCAACGCCAATGAATCCTCTCCGGTGAAGAAGCTAGGAATCTTCAATCCGAAAAGCTAGAGAGTGTTTTGTCGTTTGATGTTGATCTCTCAATCTCTAAGATGTTTGGGATCTCACAAAGTCTCTCTTATCATCCAACGATTAGTGATTATGAAGAGATAATGAGATATTTATAATTAGGTCAAAACCTAATTACATGGGCCTTAGGATACCCTGCAGCCCAATAAGTAATTGGACATAATCCAATTAATATTTTAATTAAATATAAATCTAATTTAACTTAATTAAATATTTTCCATCAAATAAAAAATTATCTCATTACTAATTAAGTATAAATCTAATTTAACTTAATTAAATATTTTCTATCAAATAGAAAATAATCTCATTACTCATAAATAAATATTTCAATCTAATTGAATATTTAACACTCTCGATTCACTCTTAGTCGGAAAACTGATTGCTTATTGTGTGACCCTATAGGCCTTCATATATTGACATAAATCTAATTTATGATCCTTACGAAACTCCTAGACTGCATCGAAGGACGAACTCAAAATATGAAGTACGTTTACATGGACAAGCAAACAATCCTTTAGTGTAGAACTCAGTAGTGGTACGGTCCCTTCATTCACGAACCACTCAATTAAGCTTAGGATTTGAACGTGTGTCTATCCAAATAGCTTAATCATTTTATCTCATCTCACTGGTTGATTTTATCAATTATATTTGGACAATGACTTTATCAACCCAGTATAGAGAAAACGAGTGTTCTCTCGAAACTATTTCGAGGAATGAATCCTATCTTGGCTCAACTACCAATCCCATGTATATCGTGATCTACCCAACACGAGCCCGTGTCTACCCATAAGGGCGTAAGCGTTGGACTAGGTCTAGTAGATCACTCTATACATGAATTGTGTATTGACCTCAAGTCAAAGGACTATTACACCATTCTACACATCGATACTCCCATAGACACATAAACAAATGGTTTATCGGTAGGGTATGCCAATACTCTCCAAAGTATCTATGTGTCCATCACGAATAACAATTATTCATAGCAGTGAGACATACTATATTCCCCAAGTATATGATGCAGACCACATGTCAATCTATCGATTGGGGCGATTTTAGAGTTATACTTTATCAATTAACATCTCACTCTGCTAATAACAGTATCAACTCAAGGGAGCAATTAATTAATAAATTGCAAACAATCAAACAATTATTTAATTAATTGCAGTACCATAATTATAATCCAATATAATTATTAATGTGATCATGTATATATGTCCTTAAAATGATTGTCTCTAGGACACATATACCAACAATCTCCCACTTGAACTAGAGGCAATCACCAATGTATCTAATACACATTTTCTTAAAATTACTATTGTGCTCAACTATGCACAATGGTTTGGTGAACGAACCATTCAAGTAGTGTTCAGCTTGAACACGTTCTAACTTATTTCTCTTCTATCAATTATCTCTAAATAAATGATAGCGCCTTTGTACATGTTTATTTTATTGTTGGATCTTGGTTCTGTTGCCCGTGCAATCGCACGCATTTATCATAATATGTAGATATTAGATAAATGACACTTGGAACTACCCCTAGTTCATTTAAGAACTCATGTATCCAAACAGCCTCCATAGGCTTTTAATGCAACAATGTACTCGGCATTTATGGTTGAATTCACAGTGGTTTACTGCTTGGAACTATTCCAACCCACTGTCTCATCATTGAAATGAATACAAGACTATTAAATTATTATTCCCACAATAGAATAAAATATATTCTTTAGTCCATCTAATGTACTAAAGATAGTCTTAGCAGTCTTCCAATATAGCTCCCTAGGATTTTATTGGAATCTATAGGTGATACTAAGTGCATAAGCCACCTAGACCTCGTACATGTCATAACATGCATGATATACTCCATCGCATAAGCAAATGTAATCTTCTTCATGCACCCAAGTTTGGCATCAACTAAAAGACAATCTTTCTTTGCCAACTTGATGTCAGGTACATTGGAGAAGCACTTCAGTACCTTTGACTATGGACCGTGAAACTCTAACACTCTATTAGATCTATCTCGATAGATCATAATTTCAAGAGTATAGCAGTTTCACTCAAACCCTTCACAATGAAGGTACTTGGTGATCAATCTTTCACGGACTGCAGGTGAGGAACATCATTCCATTATCAATATGTCACATACATATATGATAAAAATAATATTATCCTCATTGCGTTTACTATAAACGCATAGATCTTTCTTACTTCTCACAAAGCCAAACAGTTGTGTAACTTTGTAAAAAATGATATTCCAACTCCCAGAGGCTTGCTTAAGTCCACTATTGGACCTTTCTAACTCGCATACTAATTTTCAATTTGACTTGGATAAGAAACCTTTAGATTGTATCATATCCTTTAATTTTTCCATTAAGGAAAGCGATTTCAACATCCATCTGTCAAATATCATAATCATAGTATGCAACTATTGCAAGTAAAATCCAAATGGACTTAATTTTGGCAATTGGTGAAAAGGTCTCATCATAGTCAATGCCTTCATGTTGACTATAAGCTTTATCAGCCAATCTAGCCTTATAGGTTTGTACTTTGCCTTTTGCATCTATTTTCTTTTGAAAACTCATTTGCATCCAATAGGTCTAACCCTAATTGGCAAACCAACCAAGTTCTAAACTTGATTCATGTACATCCAGTCCATTTATGATTTTATGGCATCTAGCCACCTTCCTGAGTCCAGGTCTTACATAAACTCAGTGTAGGTCCTGAGATCATCCTTATTAGGAATCTCTACATCATCGTGATCCTCCAAGAGGAAAGACAATCTAATTGGTTCACGACGAGTTCTAGTCAACCTACAGAGTTTTTTTTTATTTGCATTTGTTGTTTGACATTCTGATCTTGAAGAGGTTCTTGTGCGTTGGAGTTTCTCAACGATTAGAGGGTTCTGAAAATCACGTTTGCATGCGTTTATTGAGAATGAACGACATCCAAGCCATTAGGTATTGGTTGTATATGAGTGTGCTGCACTTTTGTAGTTCACCCATATTACTCCCACTAGCTAGAAGTTGTTCATCAAATGACAAATTTCTATTTAGGAATCACCAATACCTCCCTCTAAATCTTTATCAATACCAAACGACAATTCTCGACCTCAATGTTATTTTGAATTTTCTTGAGCTTTTCAAGTTCTATCACAACACGACCTTGTTCCTTAAAGAAATAATATTCTCCTGGAAACTTTGTCTATCTAAAGACAATTACTCTATGTTCCCCATGAAGATAGAAATAGTATCCTCGTGTTGGATAGCCTTCAAAATAACATTCTTCACTTTTAGATTCCAATTATCAGTTAAAGGTTTCTTCACATATGCTAGACAACCCCAGGTTCGCATATGTTAAAGACAAGGCCTCTTTCCACATCATGATTCATATGACGTCTTTACAACTGACTTCAATGGAACTCTATTCAGAATGTAAATCGAGTTCAATAAGGTATAATCTCAATGATATGTGGAAGTGTGGTGAAACTTAACATGGATCTAACCATATCTAATAAGGTTCGATTTCTCCTTTCGAGGACTCCATCAAATGAGTCCTAGGAGGTATCCATTATAATTGGACTCCATGAAACTTCAAGTTATAAAGACACTCCATGCTCAAGTACTCCTTTTCTCGACCAAATCAAAAAGATACTTTAGTCATGTTGTTTCTCTACTCCAAACTTATACTTCTTGAATTTTCTAAGGTTTCGTTTTGTGTTCCGTAGGACACACATTACTCAACCTTTAAAATCATTAGTAAAGATGATGGAGTACGAAAACCTCTTCTAACTTGAGTTTCGTAAAGTCCACATACATTAATGTAGACCAACTCAAACATTTTTGGCTTTTGTCCCTTTCCAAGAAAAGAACTTATTGGTCATCATTTCATTTAAGACAAAATTCACAAATTCCATGTTACCAAAATCACATGGTGTTGAGTAATCTAATGTACTCAACATTGTCTCATTAATGTGACCAAATTTATAATGCCATAAGAAAATGAAGAATTTTCATATTACTTTAAACTTTTGTTTAAACAAACAAATGCAGTGTTTGCAACACCTTGTGCCTTGAAACACATACAAGTTCTCTTTCAATGTCTTTTTCTTTCCAAAAATACATATATCATCGAATAATTATCCTTCCTCAGGCTTCTAGGTTGTAGGCCTAGAAACAATTTCAGCCTCTCTTCTACTTACTCTTACCCTTGGTAAGATTTAGCAGAAGAACTCGCCATGAGTACAACCTTTCCTAAGAGTTAATGGATTGTAAATCTTGAGCATGTTGTGCAACTAAGGCATCGTTGTCCTCGTAGCATTTCATATAAAAATTCACAATGAAGTTAAAATATGAACTAGAGCGACTGCAAGATGATATTCAAAGTGAAGTGATCTGGGAGCTTCATTCAAACGAAGTCAAACTCCCAATCAGTCAAATCATCTCCACGACATGCACAAAGACTTTATCTCATCATGTAGCCTGCATTTAAAGAGGTCTCTCAACAGTTCAAACTCCAAGGTTTGAGAACGTGGGTCATAGAGTCTCTTTTAATGCTCTCACATTCATTCGGATTCATCCTATCATATGTCTCTTCAACCCAGTTGACATAGAGGACAATACGATACATTATACTAAAATTTTATCATTCTAATACTTCTTATGAGTATCATGGTCAAGCGCATAGTACCCAGAAAAAGTCTTATTAGGCACGATGAGCACCTTTGTGTCCAACACATATTCAACTCATTTTATACAACAACAACAACCACAAAAGGTGCAGTCAGTCCAGATAATTCGGGTCCAATCAACATATTCATTTCTATAAGACATTTCAATGATAATTCAAAATTCTATTCAACCCAGAGAAACATATAGAACAGGAATATAAAACAACTAGATCACATTTGTTAACTAAATTAACATGGCTTTTAGTAAATTTAGCTCCTACTATTTTCACATACTCTATGACCCCTTCAGAGGAGTACGGACTCATATCAAATACAGTCATAGTGAGCCAAGATCCACATCCATCCGATTATAGTCCCAGCTAGGGCTGATCACTATAATCAATGTAGTGGTAGGTCTCTAAATCAATTGTAAACAATTACAACTCTTGGTTGATCAAATCAAATTTGATCGACGTCCTTAGATCATTCCGACGTTAGGGCGACAAGAATTAGCTAGTAAGTCAAAACCATCACACGATCACAAACATATGTATCTATGAATGAGTCTGAGCCTCGTAGACCTAAGCAAACACTAGGGTGTAAATACTTTTGGACGAATAGGTTTTTGCACTCATTCAATTGTGATGGGTGACGTCATACATCCAAGATAAGACTTATATTTATTAGGGGAACATTTGAACGGGGTATTAAATATCCAATATTCAAACAAGATCCAACTAATATCACATATCGGGCGCCGCCTACCCGAGCATAATATAACGCGGTCCGACAAATACTGGGCAATGCCTACCCAGGCATAATATTGCGGTCCACAAATACTGGGCGCCGCCTACCCAGACAATATATAACGCGGTCCGACAAATACTGGGCGCCGCCTACCCAGGCAATATATAACGCGGACGCTAACTAAAATAAATAAACTATTTAATTTATTTCAGTTAGACAAATAAGAGCAAATAATCAAATTATCATGCATTTATAATATTCCAAACACATAAATATGTATTCAAAATATATATGCCAAGCAAATTCATGGATCAAAATAATGTGCTAAAATGTTTATCAAAATTTCTAAAATTTTGAAACAAGCTCGAATCTTTATTTCATTCATTAAATATTTCAAAAATATTTAAGAGTCATTTGACAATTGTTTTTATTTGAAATATACCCCAAAGGCTAATTTCAATTTTAAGTAATTTTCAAAAATTTAAAACAAGCAAAAATACCAATTATTTCAAATTTTACAAAATTCTAAATTTTTATACAGCCAAACATGCCATTATATTTTTTTTTTCTGAAATTACAAACAGGCCCTAGGCCAAATTGCTGATTTTAAAATTCGCAGATTTGCCCCAGCCAGTTTCAAAAATTAGAAATAGACCCCAGGTCTGTTTTGAAATTACAGACTTAACTCTAGGGTCAAATTGCAATTAATTTAAACTTCTGAAAATTGCAAAGCAGCCCCTCATTTTAATCAAATTTTCAAAATCAGGTCCCTGCAACCCAAACCCTATTTCACCCGTCAGTTCAACCCTTGCCCGTCGCCGTCTCGCGTCTGCCTCGGCCTCCAATCTCCGGCAAGCCATCGCCGCCCCAGGCCGGCGGCTTCTCGCCGGAATCAAAGTTTTTTTTTAAAATGTTTGTCCGCCATTAATGGCGGACCGAGCTCGAAGCTCGATTT